GAATAATTTTTAATAATAATTTTTAAGAATAATTTTTTCGCTGAAATATTTCTTTTATACCTATAAGATTTTTATTCTAACATTTTATTTTATTTTACTAGAAATAAAATTCCTTGTTAACATTAAAAATCTATTCAAAACGTTCATTCAAGTTTTTTATAAATATGAGTGGTTGTGCTTATCAACCGCTTTATGAAAATAAATAAAAATAAATATTATATAAAATCGCTTGTAAAAATATCAGTTTTTAATCGTACAATATTAAAATTTCCAGTTTATTACTCGCTGACTTTTTAAAAAGAAAAAATAATTATTTGAAAAACCTTAAATTACATATTTAAGAAAAAAAAAATCAAATATTAGCATATTTTATAATCTTTTTTAAATTTAAGTTAAAATGTTTTTTATTCGTTTAGTATAGACAAAACGTGACAAACGTCTAGAAAATAAACAAATGTTTTTACATTTTAAAAAACGAAACATTCCAAAACATTTTTAAATAATAACATAAACGATTTAAAGTAGTTTTGCAGTAATTAAGTAAATTGGTTAAGTTAATGTTGATAAATATGAAAAGCAAATAAAAAGAATTTAATGACGTCAAAAATCACGTCGTGCTTATGCGTCGCGCAGTTCTTATTCATTGCAAGGCCTGGTATGCAGTATGTGCAGTAGCGCCATCATGTTAAAGTTTCCATGGTTTATCATTGAGCATAAGCAGGTCAATTTATGGAATTAAGTTGTTTTCCAGTACTTCTACGTAATTCTGGAGTTGATTCTTCTGGTGTATGTTCGGCATATACCAACATCTTTGTAATTGAAGCATGACCAGATTCCTATCGAGTCTCCTCCACTTTGTACAGTCAGTCTAATGTACCTGGCGTAATACTTTTCATGAGCCATTCTTTTGACTGTTATGTTAGATTTGCGATTGATAAGCTCAAAGTTACTCTCATCACTCCACATAATGTTTTCCTATTGTTCTATTGTCCAATACCTTCTTTCACGACACCATTTTAGTCTCCTTTGTTTAACATATGGACGCAGAAGTGGTTTCTTCAAAGCAGTGTAGACTCCAATCCTGTATTTAATAAGTATTCAGCGGACTGTGCTTTGAGAAATAGATGTATTTTGCGTTGTATTGAATTCTGTGGTTGACTCTTTGTAACTAATTCTTGGATTAGCTCTGACAGCTCTAAAATGAACACTATCGTCCATTCTGGTGGTTGACAAGGGTCTACCTGGCCTCGTTTTCTCGCTGGCACCACCAGTGTGAAGAAAGTTTTGTTTCGTTGTCCGAACGCATTTCTCAGAAACTCCAATTAACTTGGCAATTTTTCTATTACTTTTGGTTTCTTCTTTGATGTGCGCAATAATTTGCCATCTTTCACCTTGAGTAATACGTCTTTTGCCCAATTTTCGCGTCTTTTTAGTGCAAAACTAACTTGACTTTTGTTTATTTATTAAATAATGATTAAATAATTCCAGGTGAGTCATATTTATATAAGGTTTTTTGTCAAAATCAATTAATTTAGGCCTATTAATGAGAAATATGGGGAAAAACTACTAATTAACTATCAATTAACAAGATATAAGACTTTTTTGATTATGCGTAAATTTATGAACAAAATGAAATCAAGCTTATTAATTAACATTTTTGTGATAATCGGTATAGAATAAGTAATAAACATCCTGTTAAAAAAATTAAGGTACTCTATAATAGAGTTTCACTTCCTCTTGTAAATTATATATCAAACATAGCTGTAGTACTTTTATTTTATTTTTATTTTGAGTATTATCTTACATATATGAAATAAAAATGAATGCGTCTAAATTTATGAAAGCACCTGTATATATATATATATATATATATATATATATATATATATATATATATATATATATATATATATATATATATATATATATATATATATATATATATATATATATATATATAAATTCAATATTATTTTGCGCTAAGTGTAAGGATTCTTTTGTGATAAATAAATACTGAATTGCCCTTGGGATTATTATAAATGTGGGTTTTTCTTCTGATTAAGACTGTGAGTCAATTTTTTTTCTTGACCTTGTTTGAGACAATGAAGATTATTTTACAATTATAGGGACTGTTTGTTGATTGATATAAGGAATGTATTGTATTATATAATTTGTATAAAATTGTATAATATTGTATAAAATTTAAGGCTTATGCCCATGCGCCATGTTTTAGTTTAGAAAAGGGCTGATTAAAACTTTTTAACTTTATGATTGAGAAAAAAACTATAAATATTTTTTTTTGGTTTTTAATTTCTAGAATTTGTTCATCTTATAGGAATTATTGATTTTAAAAAATGGTCCGTTATCTGCTAAAAACATTTACTTTATTTTTTATTGGGTTGAACTTTTTATTCAGTGCTGTATTAAATTCATAGTTAATATTTTTATTTATTTATGGTATATATATAAATTTAATATATATACGTAAAATATATAAGTTAAATAATAACTTTATTTTATATAATATATATATTTTTTTCAGTATTATTTTGTGCTAAGTGTAAGGTTTTTTTTGCGATAAATAATTACTGAATTGCCCTTGGGAATATTTTTAATGTTTAAAATTAGGATTTTATTCTGATTTACTCTGAGTCAATTTTTTTTTGGGAATCTTTTTTAAGACTAAAGATTCTTTTACAATTATAGCGACTGTTTGTTGATTGATATGAGAAATGTATTGCATTATATAAGTATGTCTAAGTGCCATATTTAAATTTAGAAAAAAGCTGCTTAAATCTTTTGAACTTTATGATTGAGAAAGGACCTGTTAATAGTTTTTTTTCTTTTTAATTTTTAGAATTTTTTAATCTTTTATTAGTTATTGATGTAATAAAATGGTTCGATATCAGCTAAAATCATTTACTTTTGTTTTTATTAGCTTGAACTTTTTATTAAGTGCTGTATTATATTTATAGTTAAATATTAAATTTAATTTTTAGTTTTATAAGTATAACTTATTACTATCAATTAATAGTATGAATTAGTCTATTATTGTTTAATGTTCTATGAAGCAAAATAGCTTACTATTAAGCAATTCTATTAATTATATTCAAAATATGAGGTAATATAACCGATTTCTATTTATAACATAAAAAAGCTTTTTTTTTTAATTATTTTGTATAAAATGAAACCAACCCTCTGCATTAGGAAATATGAGGTCTGCATTATTTTGCCTACCTCATACATTTTTAAGGTAGCTATGCCCTAATGCTGAACCAAATCTGTTGGCTAGATGCAACTGATTATGTTATAGTAAATAATCGTTTTCAGTGTATATATCCTATGTTATTGTTTCAGTAGTATTTATGCTTGTAATATATATATATATGGATTGTTTTACGCTAAGTCTAAAGATTGTTTTGCATTAAATAAGAATTGAATTGCCCTTAGGACATTTTTGAACGTTTGAAATTAGATTTTTCTTCTGATTGGGACTGTGAGTCAGTTTTTTTCCGAGACTAATTTAGGACAATTAATATTCTTTTACATTTATAGGGACTCTTTGTTGATTGATATGAGGAATGTATTGTATTATATAAGTATAAAATTTAAGGCTAATGCCCAAGGGCCATGTTTTTGTTTAAAAAAGGGCTGCTTAACACTTTTAAATTTTATGATTGAGAAAAGAACTGTAAAATAATTTTTTTTGATTTTAATTTCTGGAATTTGTTTATCTTATAGAAATTATTGATATTAAAAAATGGTTCAATATCTGCTAAAAACTTTAACTTTATTTTTTTATTGGGTTGAACTTTTTATTTAGTGCTGTATTAAGTTCAAAGTTGTATATTTTTATTTATTTTTGGTATATATATAAATTTTATATATAAGTTTAAATAATAAATTCATTGTATATATATATATATATATATATATATATATACACATATAAATATATATATATATATATATATATATTTATAAGTGTAAGGATTCTTTTGCGATAAATAAATACTAAATTGCCCTTGGCATTATTATAAATGTGGGTTTTTATTTTGGTTGGGACTGTGAGTAAAGTTTTTTTCTGGACCTTTTTTAAGACAATGAAGCTTATTTTACAATTATAGGGACTGTTTGTTAATTGATATGAGGAATGTATTGTATTATATAAGTATAAAATTTAAGGCTCATGCCTATGCGCCATGTTTTTGTTTAGAAAAGGGCTGCTTAAAACTTTTAAACTATATGATCGTTGAAAGAACTGTAAATAATTTATTTTGTTTTATTTTTCTAAAATTTGTTCATCTTATAGAAATTATTGATTTTAAAAAATGGTTCGATATCTGCTAAAAACTTTTACTTTTTTTTTTTATTTGGTTGAACTTTTTATTTAGTGTTGTATTAAATTCATATTTGATTATTTTTATTTTATTTTGGTATATATATAAATTTTATATATTAAGTTAATAATAACTTTATTTTATATAACATATAAAATATAACACTAAATAAAAAGTTTAACAAAATATATATAATATATTTTGTTAAACTTTTTATTTAGTGTTGTATTAAATTCATATTTGATAATTTTTATTTATTTTTGGTATATATAGAATATTTATATATTAAGTTAAATAATAACTTTATTTTATATAATATATATATATATATATTTTTCAGTATTATTTTGTGCTAAGTGTAAGGTTTTTTTTTCGATAAATAATTACTGAATTACCCTTGGGAATATTTTAAATGTTTTAAATTGGGTTTTTATTCTGATTTGGATTATGAGTCAATTTTTTTTTGGGACCTTTTTGAGGAATATGAAGATTATTTTACAATTATAGGAACTGTTTGTTGATTGATATGAGGTCTGTATTGCATTATATAAGTATGCCTAAGTGCCATGTTTACATTTAGAAAAGGGCTGCTTAAATTTTTTGAACTTTATGATTGACAAAGGACCTGTGAATAATTTTTTTTTTGTTTTTTTTTTTTAGAATTTGTTATTTTTTCGGAAGTTATTGATGTAAAAAAATGGTTCGATATCAGCTAAAATGGTTACTTTTATTTTTATTGGCTTGAACTTTTTATTAAGTGCTGTATTATATTTATAGTTAAATATTAAATTTATTTTTTTGTTTTATAAGTATATCTTATTACTATTAGTTTATACCATGAATTAGTCTAATATTGTTTAATGTTCTATGAAGCAAAATAGCTTACTATTAGGCAATTATATTAATTATATTCAAAATATGAGGTAATATAACGGAAATACTATTTTTTACATAAATAAGCTTTTTTTTTTAATAATTTTTTTGTATAAAATGAAACCAACCCTCTGCATTAGGAAATATGAGGTCTGCATTTCTTTGCCTACCACATACATTTTTAGGTTAGCTATGCCCTAATGCTGAACCAAGTCTGTTAATGCAACTGATTATGGGTTTTTCTTCTAATTGGGACTGTGAGTCAGTTTTTTTCTAAGACTGATTTAGGACAATAAATATTCTTTTACATTTATAGGGACTGATTGTTGATTGATTTGAGGAATGTATTGTATTATATAAGTATAAATTTAAGGCTATTGCCCAAGCACCATTTTTTAGTTTAGAAAAGGGCTGCTTAAAACTTTTAAACTATATGATCGTTGAAAGAACTGTAAATAATTTATTTTGTTTTATTTTTCTAAAATTTGTTCATCTTATAGAAATTATTGATTTTAAAAAATGGTTTGATATCAGCTAAAAACTTTTACTTTATTTTTTATTTTGTTGAACTTTTTATTTAGTGCTGTATTAAATTTATAGTTGACTATTTTTATTTACTTTTGGTATATATATAAATTTGGTATATAAAGTTCAATAATTAATTATTATATATATATATATATATATATATATATATATATATATATATATATATATATATATATATATATATATATTATAAGAGTATTTTGCGCTAAGTGTAAGGAATTTTTTTGCGATAAATAAATACTGAATTGCCCTTGGGATTTTTATAAATGTGGGTTTTTATTTTTATAAGGACTGAAAGTCATTTTTTTTTTCTGGACTTTTTTTAAGACAAGAAAGATTCTTTTACAATTATAGGGACTGTTTGTTGAATTATTTAAGGAATGTATTGCATTATATATGTATAAAGTTTAAATTTAATGCCTAACTGCCATGTTTAGATTTAGAAAAAAGCTGCTTAAATCTTTTGAACTTTATAATTTAAAAAGGACCTGTTGATATTTTTTTTTTCTTTATAATTTTTAGATTTTGTTAATCTATTGGAAGTTATTGATGTAAGGAAATGGTTCGATATCAGCTAAAATGGTTACTTTTATTTTTATTGGCTTAATCTTTTTATTAAGTGCTGTATTATATTTATAGTTAAATATTAAATTTTTTTTATTTTTAAGTATAACTTATTACTATTAGTTAATACCATGAATTAGTCTATTATTGTTTAATGTTCTATAAAGCAAAATAGCTAACTATTAGGCAATTATATTAATTATATTCAAAATATGAGGTAATATAACGGATTTTTATTTTTTACTAAAATAAACTTTTTTTTTAATAATTTTTTTTCTATAAAATGAAACCAACCCTCTGCATTAGGAAATATGAGGTCTGCATTACTTTGCTTACCACATACATTTTCAGGTTTGCTATGCCCTAATGATGAACTAAATCTGTTGGCTAGATGCAACTGATTATGTTATAGTAAATGATCGATTTCAGTGTATATATCCTGAGTTATTGTTTCAGTAGTATTTATGCTTGTAAATTATATATATGGATTGTTTTGCGCTAAGTCTAAAGATTGTTTTGCAATAAATTAGAACTGAATTGCCCTTAGGACATTTTTGAATGTTTGAAATTAGGTTTTTCTTCTGATTGGGACTGTGAGTCAGTTTTTTTCTGAGACTGATTTAGGATAATTTTTTTTCTTTTACATTTATAGGGACTGTTTGTTGATTGATTTGAGGAATGTATTGTATTATATAAGTATAAAATTTAAGGCTAATACCCAAGCGCCATGTTTAAGTTTAGAAAAGGGCTGCTTAACACTTTTAACTTTTATGATTGAGGAAAGAACTGTAAATAATTTTTTTTCTTTTCAATTTCTGGAATTTGTTTATCTTATAGACGTTATTGATTTTAAAAAATGGTTCGATATCTGCTAATAACTTTCACTTTATTTTTTTATTGGGTTGAACTTTTTATTTAGTGCTGTATTAAATTCATAGTTGAATACTTTTATTTATTTTTGGTATATATATAAATTTTATAAGTTTAAATAATAAATTCATTTTATATATATATCTCTTTTTTTTTTCTCAAGATTATTTTGCGCTAAGTGTAAGGAATCTTTTGCGATAAATAAATACTAAATTGCCCTTAGGATTATTATAAATGTGGGTTTTTCTTCTGATTGGGAATGTGAGTCAATTTTTTTTCTGGACCTTTTTTAAGACAATGAAGATTCTTTTACAATTATAGGGACTGTTTGTTGATTGATATAAGGAATGTATTGCTTTATATGAGTATGTCTGAGTGCCATGTTTAGATTTAGAAAAGAGCTGCTTAAATCTTTTGAACTTTATAATTAAGAAAGGACCAGTTAATAGTTTATTTTTCTTTTTACTTTTTAGAGTTTTTTAATCTTTTATAAGTTATTAATGTAAGAAAATGGTTCGATATCAGCTAAATTGGTTACTTTTATTTTTATTGGCTTGAACTTTTTATGAAGTGCTGTATTATATTTATAGTTAAATATTAAATTTATTATTTTAGTTTTATAAGTATAACTTATTACTATTAGTTAATACTATGAAATAGTCTATTAATCTTTAATGTTCTATGAAGCAAAATAGCTTACTATTAGGCAATTATGTTAATTTTATTCAAAATATGAGGTAATATAACCGATTTCTGTTTTTTAAATAAATAAGCTTTTTTTTTAATAATTTTTTTGTATACAATGGAACCAACTCTCTGCATTAAGAAATATGAGGTCTGCATTACTTTGCCTACCACATTCATTTTAAGGTTAGCTATGCCCTAATGCTGAACCATATCTGTTGGCTAGATGCAATTGATTATGTTATAGTAAATGATTGTTTTCAGTGTATATATATCCGGAGTTATTGTTTTACTAGTATTTATGTTTTGAAATTATATATATGGATTGTTTTGCGCTAAGTCTAAAGATTGTTTTGCAATAAATGAGAACTGAATTGCCCCTAGGATATTTTTGAAATGTAAGAAAGGCAATCACTATTTTAAATAATAAATTTATTTTATATTTGTATATATATATATATATGTATTTTTTTTTTCAAGATTATTTTGCGCTAAGTGTAAGGATTCTTTTGCGATAAATAAATACTGCCTTTGGGATTATTATAAATGTGGGTTTTTATTTTGTTTGGGACTGTGAGTCAGTTTCTTTTCTAGCCTGTTTTTAAGACAATGAAGATTCTTTTACAATTATAGGGACTGTTTGTTGATTGATATGAGAAATCTATTGTATTATATAAGTATAAAATTTAATGGTTATGTCCATGCGCCATGTTTTAGTTTAGAATAGGGCTGCTTAAAACTTTTTAACTTTATGATTGAGGAAAGAACAATAAATAATTTTTTTTTGTTTTTAGTTTCTAGAATTTGTTTATCTTATAGAAAATATTGATTTTAAAAAATGGTCCAATATCTGCTAAAAACTTTTTTTATTTTTTTTTGTTTTGTTAAACTTTTTATTTAGTGTTGTATTAAATTCATATTGGATTATTTTTATTTATTTTTAGTATATATATAAATTATATATATAAAGTTAAATAATAACTTTATTTTATATAATATATATATATCCATTTTATTTCAGGACTATTTTGTGCTAAGTGTAAGGTTTTTTTTGCGATAAATAGTTACTGAATTGCCCTTGGGAATATTTTAAATGTTTAAAATTGGGTTTTTATTCTGATTTGGACTATAAGTCAATTTTTTTTCGGGAATCTTTTTTAAGACAATGAAGATTCTTTTACACTTATAGGGACTGTTTGTTGATTGATGTGAGAAATGTATTGTATTATATAAGTATAAAATTTAAGGCTAATGCCCAAGCGCCATGTCTTAGTTTAGAAAAGGGCTGCTTAACACTTTTAAATTTTATACTTGAGGAAAGAACTGTAAATAATTTTTTTTGTTTTCAGTTTCTGGAATTTGTTTATATTATAGAAGTTATTGATTTTAAAAAATGGTTTGATATCTGCTAAAAACTTTAACTTTATTTTTTTATTTGGTTTAACTTTTTATTTAGTGCTGTATTAAATTTATAGTTGAATATTTATATTCATTTTTGTTATATATATAAATTTTATATATAAGTTTAAATAATAAATTCTTTTTATATATATATATATATATATATATATTTTTTCAGATTATTTTGAGCTTAGTGTAAGGATTCTTTTGCGATAAATAAATACTGAATTGCCCTTATTTTTTTAAATGTGGGATTTTCTTCTGATTAAGACTGTGAGTCAATTTTTTTTATGGCCCTTTTTTAAGACAATGAAGATTCTTTTACAATTATAGGGACTGTTTGTTGATTGATATGAGGAATGTATTGCATTATATAAGTATGTCTAAGTGCCATGTTTAGTTTTAGAAAAGAGCTGCTTAAATCTTTTGTTCTTTATAATTGAGAAAGGACCTGTCAATAGTTTTTTTTTCTTTTTAATTTTCTTTTTTATTTATTTTTTTTTTTAATGGCTTGATTTTTTTATTAAGTGCTGTATTATATTTATAGTTAAATATAAATTTTTTTTAGTTTTATAATTATAACTTATTACTATTAGTTAATACTATGAATTAGTCTATTATTGTTTAATGTTCTATGAAGCAAAATAGCTTACTATTAGGCAATAATATAAATTATATTTAAATTATGAGGTAATATAACCGCTTTCTATTTTTTACATTAATAAGCTTTTTTCTTTAATAATTTTTTTGTATAAAATGAAACCAACCCTCTGCATTAGGAAATATGAGGCCTGCATTAATTTGCCAACCACATACATTTTTAAGTTAGCTATGCCCTAATGCTGAACCAAGTCTGTTGGCTAGATGCAACTGATTATGTTATAGTAAATGATTGTTTTCAGTGTATATATCCTGAATTAATGTTTCTGTAGTATTTATTCTTGTAAATTATATATATGGATTGTTTGGCTTTAAGTCTAAAGATTGTTTTGCAATAAATAAAAAATTAATTGCCCTTAGGACATTTTTGATCGTTTGAAATTAGGTTTTTCTTCTGATTGGGACTGTGAGTCAGTTTTTTTCCGAGGCTGATTTAGGACAATTAATTTTCTTTTACATTTATAGGGACTCTTTGTTGATTGATATGTGGAATGTATTGTATTATATAAGTATAAAATTTAAGGCTAATGCCCAAGCGCCATGTTTTTAATTAAAAAAGGGCTGCTTAACACTTTTAAATTTTATGATTGAGAAAAGAACTATAAAATAATTTTTTTTGATTTTAATTTCTGGAATTTGTTTATCTTATAGAAATTATTGATATTAAAAAATGGTTCAATATCTGCTAAAAACTTTAACTTTATTTTTTTATTGGGTTGAACTTTTTATTTAGTGCTGTATTAAGTTCAAAGTTGTATATTTTTATTTATTTTTGGTATATATATAAATTTTATATATAAGTTTAAATAATAAATTCATTGTATATATATATATATATATATATATATACACATATAAATATATATATATATATATATATATTTATAAGTGTAAGGATTCTTTTGCGATAAATAAATACTAAATTGCCCTTGGCATTATTATAAATGTGGGTTTTTATTTTGGTTGGGACTGTGAGTAAAGTTTTTTTCTGGACCTTTTTTAAGACAATGAAGCTTATTTTACAATTATAGGGACTGTTTGTTAATTGATATGAGGAATGTATTGTATTATATAAGTATAAAATTTAAGGCTCATGCCTATGCGCCATGTTTTTGTTTAGAAAAGGGCTGCTTAAAACTTTTAAACTATATGATCGTTGAAAGAACTGTAAATAATTTATTTTGTTTTATTTTTCTAAAATTTGTTCATCTTATAGAAATTATTGATTTTAAAAAATGGTTCGATATCTGCTAAAAACTTTTACTTTTTTTTTTTATTTGGTTGAACTTTTTATTTAGTGTTGTATTAAATTCATATTTGATTATTTTTATTTTATTTTGGTATATATATAAATTTTATATATTAAGTTAATAATAACTTTATTTTATATAACATATAAAATATAACACTAAATAAAAAGTTTAACAAAATATATATAATATATTTTGTTAAACTTTTTATTTAGTGTTGTATTAAATTCATATTTGATAATTTTTATTTATTTTTGGTATATATAGAATATTTATATATTAAGTTAAATAATAACTTTATTTTATATAATATATATATATATATATTTTTCAGTATTATTTTGTGCTAAGTGTAAGGTTTTTTTTTCGATAAATAATTACTGAATTACCCTTGGGAATATTTTAAATGTTTTAAATTGGGTTTTTATTCTGATTTGGATTATGAGTCAATTTTTTTTTGGGACCTTTTTGAGGAATATGAAGATTATTTTACAATTATAGGAACTGTTTGTTGATTGATATGAGGTCTGTATTGCATTATATAAGTATGCCTAAGTGCCATGTTTACATTTAGAAAAGGGCTGCTTAAATTTTTTGAACTTTATGATTGACAAAGGACCTGTGAATAATTTTTTTTTTGTTTTTTTTTTTTAGAATTTGTTATTTTTTCGGAAGTTATTGATGTAAAAAAATGGTTCGATATCAGCTAAAATGGTTACTTTTATTTTTATTGGCTTGAACTTTTTATTAAGTGCTGTATTATATTTATAGTTAAATATTAAATTTATTTTTTTGTTTTATAAGTATATCTTATTACTATTAGTTTATACCATGAATTAGTCTAATATTGTTTAATGTTCTATGAAGCAAAATAGCTTACTATTAGGCAATTATATTAATTATATTCAAAATATGAGGTAATATAACGGAAATACTATTTTTTACATAAATAAGCTTTTTTTTTTAATAATTTTTTTGTATAAAATGAAACCAACCCTCTGCATTAGGAAATATGAGGTCTGCATTTCTTTGCCTACCACATACATTTTTAGGTTAGCTATGCCCTAATGCTGAACCAAGTCTGTTAATGCAACTGATTATGGGTTTTTCTTCTAATTGGGACTGTGAGTCAGTTTTTTTCTAAGACTGATTTAGGACAATAAATATTCTTTTACATTTATAGGGACTGATTGTTGATTGATTTGAGGAATGTATTGTATTATATAAGTATAAATTTAAGGCTATTGCCCAAGCACCATTTTTTAGTTTAGAAAAGGGCTGCTTAAAACTTTTAAACTATATGATCGTTGAAAGAACTGTAAATAATTTATTTTGTTTTATTTTTCTAAAATTTGTTCATCTTATAGAAATTATTGATTTTAAAAAATGGTTTGATATCAGCTAAAAACTTTTACTTTATTTTTTATTTTGTTGAACTTTTTATTTAGTGCTGTATTAAATTTATAGTTGACTATTTTTATTTACTTTTGGTATATATATAAATTTGGTATATAAAGTTCAATAATTAATTATTATATATATATATATATATATATATATATATATATATATATATATATATATATATATATATATATATATTATAAGAGTATTTTGCGCTAAGTGTAAGGAATTTTTTTGCGATAAATAAATACTGAATTGCCCTTGGGATTTTTATAAATGTGGGTTTTTATTTTTATAAGGACTGAAAGTCATTTTTTTTTTCTGGACTTTTTTTAAGACAAGAAAGATTCTTTTACAATTATAGGGACTGTTTGTTGAATTATTTAAGGAATGTATTGCATTATATATGTATAAAGTTTAAATTTAATGCCTAACTGCCATGTTTAGATTTAGAAAAAAGCTGCTTAAATCTTTTGAACTTTATAATTTAAAAAGGACCTGTTGATATTTTTTTTTTCTTTATAATTTTTAGATTTTGTTAATCTATTGGAAGTTATTGATGTAAGGAAATGGTTCGATATCAGCTAAAATGGTTACTTTTATTTTTATTGGCTTAATCTTTTTATTAAGTGCTGTATTATATTTATAGTTAAATATTAAATTTTTTTTATTTTTAAGTATAACTTATTACTATTAGTTAATACCATGAATTAGTCTATTATTGTTTAATGTTCTATAAAGCAAAATAGCTAACTATTAGGCAATTATATTAATTATATTCAAAATATGAGGTAATATAACGGATTTTTATTTTTTACTAAAATAAACTTTTTTTTTAATAATTTTTTTTCTATAAAATGAAACCAACCCTCTGCATTAGGAAATATGAGGTCTGCATTACTTTGCTTACCACATACATTTTCAGGTTTGCTATGCCCTAATGATGAACTAAATCTGTTGGCTAGATGCAACTGATTATGTTATAGTAAATGATCGATTTCAGTGTATATATCCTGAGTTATTGTTTCAGTAGTATTTATGCTTGTAAATTATATATATGGATTGTTTTGCGCTAAGTCTAAAGATTGTTTTGCAATAAATTAGAACTGAATTGCCCTTAGGACATTTTTGAATGTTTGAAATTAGGTTTTTCTTCTGATTGGGACTGTGAGTCAGTTTTTTTCTGAGACTGATTTAGGATAATTTTTTTTCTTTTACATTTATAGGGACTGTTTGTTGATTGATTTGAGGAATGTATTGTATTATATAAGTATAAAATTTAAGGCTAATACCCAAGCGCCATGTTTAAGTTTAGAAAAGGGCTGCTTAACACTTTTAACTTTTATGATTGAGGAAAGAACTGTAAATAATTTTTTTTCTTTTCAATTTCTGGAATTTGTTTATCTTATAGACGTTATTGATTTTAAAAAATGGTTCGATATCTGCTAATAACTTTCACTTTATTTTTTTATTGGGTTGAACTTTTTATTTAGTGCTGTATTAAATTCATAGTTGAATACTTTTATTTATTTTTGGTATATATATAAATTTTATAAGTTTAAATAATAAATTCATTTTATATATATATCTCTTTTTTTTTTCTCAAGATTATTTTGCGCTAAGTGTAAGGAATCTTTTGCGATAAATAAATACTAAATTGCCCTTAGGATTATTATAAATGTGGGTTTTTCTTCTGATTGGGAATGTGAGTCAATTTTTTTTCTGGACCTTTTTTAAGACAATGAAGATTCTTTTACAATTATAGGGACTGTTTGTTGATTGATATAAGGAATGTATTGCTTTATATGAGTATGTCTGAGTGCCATGTTTAGATTTAGAAAAGAGCTGCTTAAATCTTTTGAACTTTATAATTAAGAAAGGACCAGTTAATAGTTTATTTTTCTTTTTACTTTTTAGAGTTTTTTAATCTTTTATAAGTTATTAATGTAAGAAAATGGTTCGATATCAGCTAAATTGGTTACTTTTATTTTTATTGGCTTGAACTTTTTATGAAGTGCTGTATTATATTTATAGTTAAATATTAAATTTATTATTTTAGTTTTATAAGTATAACTTATTACTATTAGTTAATACTATGAAATAGTCTATTAATCTTTAATGTTCTATGAAGCAAAATAGCTTACTATTAGGCAATTATGTTAATTTTATTCAAAATATGAGGTAATATAACCGATTTCTGTTTTTTAAATAAATAAGCTTTTTTTTTAATAATTTTTTTGTATACAATGGAACCAACTCTCTGCATTAAGAAATATGAGGTCTGCATTACTTTGCCTACCACATTCATTTTAAGGTTAGCTATGCCCTAATGCTGAACCATATCTGTTGGCTAGATGCAATTGATTATGTTATAGTAAATGATTGTTTTCAGTGTATATATATCCGGAGTTATTGTTTTACTAGTATTTATGTTTTGAAATTATATATATGGATTGTTTTGCGCTAAGTCTAAAGATTGTTTTGCAATAAATGAGAACTGAATTGCCCCTAGGATATTTTTGAAATGTAAGAAAGGCAATCACTATTTTAAATAATAAATTTATTTTATATTTGTATATATATATATATATGTATTTTTTTTTTCAAGATTATTTTGCGCTAAGTGTAAGGATTCTTTTGCGATAAATAAATACTGCCTTTGGGATTATTATAAATGTGGGTTTTTATTTTGTTTGGGACTGTGAGTCAGTTTCTTTTCTAGCCTGTTTTTAAGACAATGAAGATTCTTTTACAATTATAGGGACTGTTTGTTGATTGATATGAGAAATCTATTGTATTATATAAGTATAAAATTTAATGGTTATGTCCATGCGCCATGTTTTAGTTTAGAATAGGGCTGCTTAAAACTTTTTAACTTTATGATTGAGGAAAGAACAATAAATAATTTTTTTTTGTTTTTAGTTTCTAGAATTTGTTTATCTTATAGAAAATATTGATTTTAAAAAATGGTCCAATATCTGCTAAAAACTTTTTTTATTTTTTTTTGTTTTGTTAAACTTTTTATTTAGTGTTGTATTAAATTCATATTGGATTATTTTTATTTATTTTTAGTATATATATAAATTATATATATAAAGTTAAATAATAACTTTATTTTATATAATATATATATATCCATTTTATTTCAGGACTATTTTGTGCTAAGTGTAAGGTTTTTTTTGCGATAAATAGTTACTGAATTGCCCTTGGGAATATTTTAAATGTTTAAAATTGGGTTTTTATTCTGATTTGGACTATAAGTCAATTTTTTTTCGGGAATCTTTTTTAAGACAATGAAGATTCTTTTACACTTATAGGGACTGTTTGTTGATTGATGTGAGAAATGTATTGTATTATATAAGTATAAAATTTAAGGCTAATGCCCAAGCGCCATGTCTTAGTTTAGAAAAGGGCTGCTTAACACTTTTAAATTTTATACTTGAGGAAAGAACTGTAAATAATTTTTTTTGTTTTCAGTTTCTGGAATTTGTTTATATTATAGAAGTTATTGATTTTAAAAAATGGTTTGATATCTGCTAAAAACTTTAACTTTATTTTTTTATTTGGTTTAACTTTTTATTTAGTGCTGTATTAAATTTATAGTTGAATATTTATATTCATTTTTGTTATATATATAAATTTTATATATAAGTTTAAATAATAAATTCTTTTTATATATATATATATATATATATATATATATATATTTTTTCAGATTATTTTGAGCTTAGTGTAAGGATTCTTTTGCGATAAATAAATACTGAATTGCCCTTATTTTTTTAAATGTGGGATTTTCTTCTGATTAAGACTGTGAGTCAATTTTTTTTATGGCCCTTTTTTAAGACAATGAAGATTCTTTTACAATTATAGGGACTGTTTGTTGATTGATATGAGGAATGTATTGCATTATATAAGTATGTCTAAGTGCCATGTTTAGTTTTAGAAAAGAGCTGCTTAAATCTTTTGTTCTTTATAATTGAGAAAGGACCTGTCAATAGTTTTTTTTTCTTTTTAATTTTCTTTTTTATTTATTTTTTTTTTTAATGGCTTGATTTTTTTATTAAGTGCTGTATTATATTTATAGTTAAATATAAATTTTTTTTAGTTTTATAATTATAACTTATTACTATTAGTTAATACTATGAATTAGTCTATTATTGTTTAATGTTCTATGAAGCAAAATAGCTTACTATT